TGCCTTGAGGTTGGACTAAATGGTATTTTCTAAACGAGTGATCCTCAATGGAGGTAACTTTGCTCCCCAGAAGACATTTGGAAATATGTGGAGATGTTTTTGATAGTCTTTGGGGGACAATCAGATTGATGGGGGGAGGTACTCCTGACATCTAGTGAGTAGAGACGAGGGATGCTGCTCAACTTCTACAGTCCCCCCTCCCCCAAAACACAACAAAGAAACCCTTTATTCCAAATAGTAACAGTGCTGTGGGGCGCAGCTACAGTGTTTTGCCCAGGTTCAAGCCTCGGACTAATGAAAGGACAGGGTCCTCTCATTGCCACGTGCAAGACCCAGCTGGAAGGGCAGGGCCCTCCCAGCACAATTATAGCCAACAGCTATGGTTGTAAGCTTGAACCTATGGTCCGAACACGTAGCCACACGTGCCTTGTGATAGAGTTCGGGTGCATGTAGTTAAGTGAGGTTGAAACTCACGAGAATGCTGTAAACAACGTGATCACACCCCTACTTTGCCTCGTGGCATCTGCTATAAAATAAAGACACTGCTTGTGGGCGCTGTCTCCTCATCAGGGAGCAGTGTCCCACCGAGACCCAGCTTCCATTCTCTTGTCTGTCTTTTCTCAATCCTTTCACCCGCCCCCCGCCCCCCACTCAGGGTCACTGAACCAGGCTGAGCTGGCATGGCACATAGGCGCCCTGGGGCTGAGTATGCCATGGCCGTGCCGGCTCCCCACATATGGCGCCCGACCAGGGACTCAGTTTGGGGGAATTTAAAAGTGGTTAGGTGAAAGGAGGCTCCAAGGCGCTCGCAGAGAGTAAGTTTAAGAAACAAAAGTAAGAAAATAAGAAAGTAAGCTTAAAAAGCAAAAGTAAGAAGGCCAAAAAACAAAAATAAGGTAGGGAGCCGAAGTGTGTCTTTTCTCAATCCTTTCACCCCCCACTCAGGATCACCAGGGCCTGAGTTTTGGCCATAAGAAGTGGCGTCGGACCAGGGACTGAGTTCGGGGAAATTTAAAAATGGCGGTCAGGTGAAAGGAGGCTCCAAGGCGCATGCAGAGAGTAAGCTTAAAAAACAAAAGTAAGAAAATAAGAAAGTAAGTTTAAAAAGCAAAAGTAAGAAGGCCAAAAAACAAAAATAAGGTAGGGAGCCTAAGTGTGGTAAAATTAGCTCGGTGTAAAACATGGGAATAATGCTTAATTGAAGCATTTTTAAAGTAAGCATTTTTTAAATTTCTAAGTAGAAATAAGTGGTAGAAATAAGCGGTAGAAATAGAGAGATAAGTAGAAATATGTGGAATAAACGTTAGGAAATAAGTGGTAGAAAATAAGAGATCTCTTAGGTTTTGTTAAGCTAAAGATAGGTAAGATAGAAATAAGCTGTAGAAATAGAGAAATAAGTAGAAATAAGCGGTAGAAATAGAAAGTAAGTGGTAGACGTTAGAAAATAAGCGGTAGGAGAAATAAGCTATAGAAAGTAAGTGGTAGACGTTAGAAAATAAGCAGTAGAAAATAAGCCGTAGAAATAGAGAGTAGGAAATAAGTTGTAGGAATATAGAAATAAGTAGAAAATAAGCGGTAGAAATAAACTGTAGGAATAGAGAAATAAGTAGAAATAAGCAGTAGAAATAAGCTGTAGAAATAGAAATAAGCGGTAGAAAGCAAGTAGTAAGAA